CAGGTCCTGGTGACCTGATGGAATGTGATAACAAATGGTGTGGATCTAATGCAAATCAGAGAAAGAAAACAGAGTGTTTGGACACAGCCAGAGAATTAAACACAAAAGTATAGTTCTAAAAGGAATAAGACAATCAGTAATTTACATCGATCATGTTAAAGCATACTATGCTAAAGTGAGTATTATAACCAAATTCTAACAGAAGTTTTTCCTTGCCTGTGTCGCCTAGTGCTTGGTCTTGGTGAGATTTGTTGGGATGACTTGTTTAGTTTGGAAACCTGGAAAAAAACTGTTGTTGTGATGTGGCGCTATAGAAATAGAATAGAATTTAATTAAAATTCCTTTAGCCTGGACACATTTATGTTTTATATGAAGTTGCACCCAAAGGGGCAAAAAAAAAACAACTAAGACACACTTTTCAGTTGTTTTCCTCCCTCTCTCCTTTTTTATCTTTTTTACAAAAGCAGATTTTTCTTTTCTATTTCACAAAAGTAAAGAAAAAAAAACACATTCGGAAGAAAATGGCTTTACGTTTTTGCCCCGTGCAGAATGAAACGTCGGAGTCCTCTTTCGGCGTGCGCTCCGTAGTGGAATCCAATATTGTACTCGGCGTTCAGCGGTTTCACCGCTTTGAGTGAAGAAGCCCTAGCTGCCAGCGGTGCCTATGAATTCCGAAATGCTTTGTTGAATCTCATCTTCTCTGATAGATACAGACATGCACAGCGGGGCCAGCTTAAAAAATGGGGATAGAAAAGCCCAACTTGTCAAATTCACTGTGCGTGTTGTGGATTGTGCAGTAGAGTGCGTTTCGGTTTCACCCCCGCTCTCACAAAACAGGTGACACAGTGCTCTCCTAAGTCCCAGTAACAAACTAAAAGAGCTACAAAAAAAAGAAAGAAAGGGATATTGACAATTTTTTAAAAATCGGGGGGGGGGGGAATCCATTTTACAGGGAAACCCTGGCAATTATTGGCCCGTTCAAAGACTCACAAAAGAAGTTGGACTTCCTGGTGTGTGGCAGGCCAACTCTAGGGTTACATTCCCAAGAGTCGAGTGAAATGGAACGCAAAAGACTGCCCCCTCTGGCCCGAACACTCAAATGTGACATGTACTCGAGTTAAATGGAAATGCCTCGATGTAAAAATGGCTGTCGCTGGATGTGCAGTGGATTTAAAAACTGAGGGTTAATCGGGTTTAAATTGAAAAAAACGTTGGTGTGAAAGCTCTTTCCTCTGTGCATCTGCTCCAAAAGACAATAATTCAGTGTTTACAGTGCAGACTTTGTCCTTGGCATCTGTGGCCCGGTGTGCAAATGTAAAGCAGATGGCCTGGCTACTTTGTCCTCGCTGCCGCTAATCGGGCGCTAAATAACTATCAAAGTGTGCCGGTGTCGCTCCCTTCCCTCTTTTCCTCCGCTTGGCTTTGGTTTTTCGGGAGCTCGGCCCCCTCAATACACACAGAAAAGTGGTCAAAACACATCTTTCTGTTCGCTTTGAGGAGTCGGTAAAACCCGATCCAGCTGAGAGCATCCTGCTTCTAAGAGTGTGTTAGTGGTCGACGTGACAAGCTGAGTGTTTGTTTTTAGGTGACCAGAAATATCTATAGCACTCAGGCCTTGTGAAATCCACACACAAATAAAGCGTCTGCATCAGCAGTTTGCATTGTTGTTCATATTTACTAAGAAAGTTAATTTTACTGAACTTTTTTGCAAAGCAGGAAATCAAATATTAAACACTCTACATACGTGAGAGGGATGTACACATATATAAGAATAATAATTTAAAAAAAATAATAATACAAAATAATAATAATAAAAAAATAAATAAATAAATAAATAAATAAAAGAAAAATAATAGAAAATAAATAACGGGTGCCCAAAAGCAGAAAAAACAAAAATAACACTACTTCTTTATTATACTTATCTATTGATACTTATTCAGATTAGAGTGTTTAGCCCTTTTTTGTCTTCCAACCGTGATGGTTGGAAGACAAAAGTCAGGCCTCACAACATGCTTTTGGTCTACTACATGGCAATAATACTCACAGTTAATATGTGATGGTGCACTGACATTGACATGTTGACTATTTTTATATTTTGAAATATTAAATATCAACATTTAATATTGTAAGTCACATATGATAATAAAAAAGGGGACAAAGGTAGTCAAAAGCACACCTTAATTGATGTAAACATCTTTAATAATGATGAACTTTTTTTTACTTTGATTGTTGTCAGGTTGCTTTTAGTGGCTGAAACATACATACTTATTATATTCAGATCCCTTAAAGAGAATTAGGGATTGTTTTCTCACAGATATTCTGTCTTTAAATTAAGTAAAATTGGCTTGAGTGCAATTACTGGCTCATCCTGTCCCGGTAATTACGCTTTCTAATTAATATGACGCTTGAAATGTACATTAAAGATAGAGCTTGTTTGTTTCCTGCCATCACAGCTCCAGTGCTGTAGGCAAAGAACAGGCTGAAATCGCTGCCTGTTCTGGCTTTTAAAAAAAAAAAAACTTCAGTACACGCTCTCAGACAAAGAGAAGACAGAACTTTTAAAGCGTGACGTGTGCTATTGCACGACTTGCATCACGGATGCGAATTGGCAGCCGGCAGATTTGAAGTGCTGTAGAGAAACCTGTCATTTTTGTGGCTTTTTGTGGTGTTCAGTCAGGTCAGCATACCCCGACAGACCAGCATGCCTATAGTCTTACGCATGCGCAAACATGGTTACGCATGCGTATTACTGCGAAAAGTAGCGAACACTTGGAGAAGCCGACAGATCGCCATACCTTTCGAAAAACACCCAAAAATAAGTAATTAAATTATTTTTTGTACATAACAAAAGGGATACACGCCTGTTGAGGTAGTTTACAGTGTATTTTTCGTACAAAACTAAAGGGATACTCGCGCGTTGAGGTAGATTAAAGTGTATTTAGAGAAGGGTCTAGCTGCACCTGCAGCCATCTACAAAACGCGTCCCGTACAAAACACACCTCCCGCCCAGCCAATCGTTGATTTTGATTTGGACATCACGTCATCTTGGATACAGATTAATTGAAGTGAATCAAACGTAAGCATGATGCTTACTACTAGCAAGGTTGTAGTTAGCACGTAAAAAAAGTAATGATAATCTTGTTCAATGTTGGGATTAAAGGAACAGTTCAATCGATGATCGAATTGATGTACAATTTTGCCACGTATTTTATTTGCTTATATCTTGTAATTTTCCAGGGACTGCACATGCTTTAAATACGAAATTGTTAGAAATAGCATTTCTAAGTGAATTTGTAAACAAAAGTACTTGACTTTTGGTGTGGTTTTCTGGTAAGTTTGTGTGTTTACCTTAAACTACAACCTTTTGTTTATCATATCACGCATAAAGTAGTCTAGTAAACTTCGTCAATGTTAATCTCTTAGATTTCTGCTAAAGGTCGCATGCATATTAACTCTGGGTATGCAGGTCTGACGGGGCATGCGAAAATCTGACGTCATGCGCATGCGTATTGAGTATAGGTATGCTGGTCTGTCGGGGTATGCTGACCTGACAGAACACCGGCTACAGGCTGGGGTGGTAAAAAACGCGGGCCGACTCGGTGATTTCCCCCCCGTTTCCATGGCGTCTCCCGCCGCTCGTCTGACCCATCCGCTACGCTGAGCCGTGGGGAAATCAGATCGGGCTCATTACCCTCTCTCCTCAGAAAGAGATGCGGCGGGAGGGGGCCTCCTCTGCAGCTCATCGGGAATGACACCATCACTGGGGGTTGGCGAGCGGCCATCTGCCGAGGTTCTCCCCATCTAACGGCTCCCCTCCGCCTTTGTGTGGAAACAAATGAGCGTCAACCGGACGACTCAGGCTGAACGAGGAGGGATTTGGGGGGGCCGATACCGTGAAGGGCGCGCAGGGGCCAACAGTGGCCACCTAAGTGGAGGTTATCGGTGGGAGCGTTAATGAAGTTCAGAGCTGGCTGGGGTCTTTCTTCTCGCATTTGAAGGGAAGCTTTGCGGGAGAGGATGTCGGATTCACCTCGCTCCAGCACTGTCACATACAGTAGGTGGGTCTTAGGGAGGACTCAGTCGCGGAGATATGAAGTTCGAAGGGTTTATTTTAACAAAAACCACATTCAAACAGAGTGGATGGTTACAAAGTTCAAAACAAGGCTGTGACAAAACTATGAACAAAGTAACAAAGCTAGATTAACACGACTATGAACACAAAGTATCAAATAAAGTAAACAAGGCTATGGCAAAAAGTATCAAATAAAGATTAACAAAACTGTGACAAAGTATCAAAACAAGACTATGGTAAAATATCAAAGCAAGATTAACATGATTGTGAAAAAACATGGCTGTGACAAAAACAGTTAACAAGACTATGGCATGGCTGTGACGAAATCAAACCTTACGTGGCGAGGGGTGACGAAAACAGAAAGACGAAACAATGACGAAAACACACTGGCACAGGACATGGGAAACGAGGACTATTTAAACACATGAGGGAGGGGAAGTGGAAGGGAGTGGAAGCACATCGCTGATCTCACCATCACTGCTAGCTAAAACACAAAAAATGGGCCCGTTTCACAAGCTGAAAAACATTCCTCCGGGGGAGAAAACTACTCAGGTGCTGTCACATTTCAACCTGGAACTTCCATGGGCTCCCTCATCCAAACCCCACTTGGATAAGACCCCTTAAATCGTTTTTTTGCAAGCCACTCAAAAACTCTCCTTTTATAAGTCTTCTTTTATTTCGCAAGCATGTTTTTGTCTCTGAAAAATTCCATAATAATAATGGTTTCTGAGACTGAATCGCAAAACACCGTCAGAGGAGGCATTTCGGGGGTGACCCCACAGCATCACGTTGAACACATTGCGTGTGTGTGTGTGTGTTTTTTCTTTTCTTTTTTCCATTCCACTGTATAGCCACTTCCTGAGACATTTGAAGTGAACTGCGCTCCATTGAGAGTAAAATGAATAGTCTCGTCGGGTCGCGTGAAATTATGCAGACCTGGAGAAAGGAAGGTGGAAAAGAGAGAATCTCCATTCATACAGTCAATTCAAGGGTCGTTAAGAAGAAACAAAACACTTTGAGTGCAAGGTAAAAAGAGGAGTCTGTTCTGTCTTTTCACACAGCTCAGCGGTGTGTCTCGCCCATCATCCCGCTTTGAGGATGTGCACTCTTCCCGTGCCGTTGACTTTTTCAGGGGTGGCCTTTCATCCGTTCACCTGGTCATTCAGCTGCTCTAATATAGACAGAAAAGCCGATTGTTTTTCAGGAGACGTCGCACAGCACAGCAGTTCCTACATTCTTTGTTCCCAGGATGGCTTTTGTGTGACAGCATTAGGATGATTCAGCATCACTGAAAAACACTGAAGAGATATAGTTTTCAATGGTTATCGGGTCATAAATCTTCTTACGTAAACCACACAAACTAACAGCAGAGCCTAAACTCTTATGCGTATTATTAATATATAAGAAGAAAGTTGAAAAGTACTTGATTAAATAAAGTCAGTGTGCCCAACTGGTCTCAATCTCACATCCCAGGTGTCTCAGACTTCGGCGAACTACTGTCGGAAGTTGTGAGGATTTTCTCTTATAGGAACCTTAATAAATGTCTTTCTGTTGTACTATCAAGTGGAAAAGTATATTTATTGTAGACATGGTGGAAATGGAATACAAAATTCCTCACTGAGAACAACTGAACAAGCAAATGATTAGTATTACTTCTAAAGGAGAAATTAAGTAAACGTGTTCTGATAGAATAAAATAAAAACACTAAGGTACTGTTGTCCACAGCCGGAGGCTCTTAACCCTATTTGAGGTATGCATTTGTGCTAAGCATAGATTTGGAAACTGATCAAGATGGTGAAAGGATGTCATTAGTCCAGGTCGTTCACAATGAGGACCCTCTATTTCACAGTGTTTCAACTCTCATAACAAGACACTCACTAAGTTAACCTAAATTAGCACCAGGCATCCCTATAGAATCCCTGTCAGATCCTTAAGATTATATCCAAAGTTTTTCTGCCACTTTCATGTGGCTGGAAAATTACAGACAAAACAACCATTTATTTTTTAGATATTGTTGAATATTGATATCAGTTCGTATTTTACTGTCAGTTTAGCACATTTGAAAATCTAGCATCTCACCTTTCACTTCGGTCCTTTTGCCGATCATCATCAGATGTTCTGTAGTGACATTTTACAGCTTTAAAGGGCATTATAATCAAATATCAAACTGTTTAAGTCACTTCTCCAGAACCAAATGTTGTGGCTTCTAGGACATAGCCTACATGCATTTGATCGAGCGAATGTGTTAAGATCCTTTAAAAAAGTTGGATAATCAAACGTAGATTTCAGAGATTTTGGGTCATAATTATATCTGCATGTGCTGGAATTTATGGTTTAAGTCAACAGATGTCTTTAACATCATGAAAAAAAATAGTAGATATTGTGTAAAATGTAGGAATAGACTAAGACCTGCCAGCCAACGATTAAATATTCCCAATTTACAACGCTGTTGTAAGCACATTGCACATTTGTGTTGTGTTTTAGTTTTTTTTTTAAACCTTTTTATTGTAATTGAACCTTTGGGGGGTTTAAAAACAATATAGTCCGATTAGAAAATTGTCTGTATAATGACTCTTGTCCAAGGGAGTCATTCAGGGCCAAATTGCTGCCTGTCTGGGGCTTTAGTCCGTAATTAGGTCAAAACGCAAATGCTCGTATTGTGATGTGGGCCCACGAGGACCCGCGCGGCTCGAGCTTCTGTGTTTAGAGCGTAACCATGTGTGTCAGAGTGACTCGTCGAGCCCCTTTAGTGCCGTTGGGCTGCGACGCCAGAGGGCACAAAAGGCGTTTACGCCACTGTGATGCCATTCTCCGTTCATATAGCGTTTAGCTTAGTTAGAACGTTGCCTCTAAGCTCCGGAAATCTGGGGTGGCGACATAAGTAGCCTTAAGTGTATCCCCACACACACACACACACACAAGTACACCCATCCCGCCTCTTCCTTATTTTCCAGCTTCTTCCTACTTCATCACCTCTCTGTACCTTCGAGTCCGCTGTTGTTTCCTTGCTCCTCATTGCCTCTCCGTTACCTTTCTCTTTTATTGATCATTAGCCGGTGTTGGGAAGTGAGAGGGGCTTTAATTAAGGAGCCAGACCGGCCTGTCAATTCTGCTCAGCGCTGCGTGGAGAGCACCAGACCAAGCGATTGCCCTAATAGGGCTTCATACTGTAAACAACACGCACACCTGGACAGCTGCAGGCCCCGGGGAGGAGCAGGAAAAGAGGCACTGTCAACAAGTTGGCACCGATAAAGAGAGGAAGTTTAGCTTTTTTTCATCCTTTTCAAGGTGGGGGGAAAGAGAAGCTGGTACCAGATATATAAAAGAAAAAACAAGTTTGAAGTGTTGATTTGATTTCGGACAAGGAAAGCCTCACGATCTACATCACTTTAAACCATCTCCTGCAATGAATATTGGGAAAAGGGGAAAAAAAGCAGCTTGTATAATATTGCTTCAGAGTCACATGAATGAAGATCTAATTCCCTCACAGGATCTGCTGCACTTTTTCAGACAAACTCTTAAGACATTTTTTGTTTTATGTCAAATTTGAAAGCTGTTACATGCACTGACGCAGAAAAGGCCCTCACTGCTTTGAATGTTTGGATGCCTTTGATATTCTTGCTTTTCATAGGTTGTCTAGCTATAGCCTTGACTTTAAAACCCCTTAAAGTGTTCTATTGAATTCGTGTAATTTAACAGACTTTAGCTTGCCATCGTCTTTTTTACTTATTGTACTTCAGAAGTGGCTTTTAATTACAAATATTCATTCTTTGCCAGACTTCTAGGGTTTAAGAAAAGTCATTTTCACCTACAAAGCGCCACATCCCTGTATTATCACACTTCCAGCTCCTTGTTAGATCCATTTCCGAACACGCTGAACGTAATCCCAACATTCCAAAGTCCTCTTTACACAGACAGTGAGGCAGGTTGGAGATCCAGATACTATGTTTGCTCGTTTTGTTTATCATTCATTTGCCAGCAGGGCGTCATGTAAAGTTCACCCCCTGTAATAGCTCGATAAGTTGCAAATGCCGGCTTTTAGTCGCTCAGCTGTAATGTTATGCAGTCTAATTGCTCGGAATCTGTAAGCCGTAGACCATTTTGCTTTGGAGAGATACTTTGTAGTGTCTGATCTCACACTCTGCCGCAGTGGAGCATCACTCACGGTAATGATCACCGGCAGGGCAACATGTCCATTTACATACCTTTTTTTTATCTTATTTTAACAGCGATGTGTTGCATCACATGACAGTTTCGGGGGTGTTGACGGTGCTGCTGATCCAAGGATCTATAGAACAAGTGCCTCCGCTCTGTTTATCTTTGCTTTTATTGTGAATACCAAGTCAGAGAAAATTAATTATTAATTAATTATTGCTGCGCGAGGGGCTTGTGTGTACGATAATTCGCTCAAATTCGCTAGAATTCGCTAAATAATGTATTTTTCCTGTGTTGGCATGACTGTAGAGAGCTTTCTTGTCTGTATGGAGTTTCTTTGTGTGGGCATGCCCACTGTCCGCATCAGGAACGTGTCAGACAGTCTTGTGTGCATACTCGTGTCGGGGCCAATAATGATCCCCGACTTTAATCGATAAAACCATCAAAACATCTCGGCCTCTGCCCTTTTGTTGACTCTGTCTGCCTCTTGTCTCTCCTCCAGAGAAAGCCGGTATGCTGTCGGCATTGATCGCCCCCTTCAAGTACATAAGCCCTGGGACCAGCAGCACAGAGGACGAGGACAGTTTAAGTAAGCTGCCTCTTTTCTTTCCCCGCGACAGGCCCCGATATAGAAGTGATATCTCTGTCACCTGCACCATCAATTGTTTTCCAACCACTTCTTACATTGCGCACGGGTGTCGTATCTCTCTCTAACCGGCATAAAAGTGAGAAGACGAAAATTAGATTGAAGTGTTTCCAGTGAATAAGTCGTTAAATTAGCTCGTCTTGAGCAAAGATCTTGTCCTGTAAGTGTCTCCCATCACACCATTAAGGTATCTTCTAGAAAATTCCAAACACCCTATTTTTTGTTCATTTTCCCCATCAGAAATGCGAGGCGCCGACCGCCTCCCTGTAACGGGGTTTGAAGAGCGTGTCACAGCTGTTCAGGCTTTGCTCTTACGGGGGGATAGGAGTGTGAAATAAAGCGGGCTTCAGACATTTTCTCTCATCCTTTCTTGGAACGTCTGCCACTTGATGCGACCCCCCCCCCATTACAAATAGGATTGACGCTCTGCAATGGCCACAGGGACCAATGTTTCCTGCTCATGACACAGATTCCAAACCAATTTGGAGGCAGATTACAGGATGATTTGGCAGATAACATCACCATTTTAGGGGGATTTGTATTTGGGTTTTAAAATACTTAAATATGATAGAGCCCCATGGTATGAAGTGGGTATCGGCTCAGGGAGATGATTGTAGATGTGTTCATTACCATTTCATTGTGTATTGAGTGGCTCAATCTGCCTCGAGAGATTTTCCTTGATTCATTTTGTTCGGCCGGGATAAATGAGAGTCTAGCCCCCCGGTAATAACTGCTGTCTTCTCCTGGCAGGCACCAGCAGCGCCGAGGTGAAGGAAAACCGCAACGTGGGCAACCTGGAGGACCGCTCCCTCAGCGCCGGGGAGTGCCAGTCCCGTTTCCGCGCGGACCCCGCCCGGAGCGGGACCTCCGGCCTGAAGCGGAAGCGGCCTCTGGAGGAGGACAACAACGGTCACCTGTGCCAGCTGCGCCTCATCTACAAGAAGCTGTCCTGGTCCGAGGCGCCCAAGAACGCCCTGGTGCAGCTGAACGAGCTCCGCCCGGGCCTGCAGTACCGCCTGGTGTCCCAGACGGGCCCCGTCCACGCCCCCGTCTTCTCCATCGCCGTGGAGGTGAACGGGCTGAGCTTCGAGGGCACGGGGCCCACCAAGAAGAAAGCCAAGATGCGGGCGGCCGAGTCGGCGCTCAAGTCCTTCGTCCAGTTCCCCAACGCCCCGCAGGCCCACCTGGCCATGGGGAACATCTCCAACCCGGCGGCCGACTTCACCTCGGACCAGGCCGACGTCCCCGGCACGCTCTTCAAGGAGTTCGAGCCCTCGCCGTGCGGCGGCGGGCTGTCGCTGTGCGGGTCGGCCAGCGAGAGCGAGCTGGTGTCCAGCGAGCTGCTGCGGCGCGGCCGGCTGCTGCGCCACACGCTGGACCTCATGGTGCAGGCCCAGCAGAGGCTGGGCGGCATCACGCCCGAGGCCGAGGCCCCCAAGGGGCCCGTGGCGCTGCTCAACGAGCTGCGGCCGGGCCTGCGCTACGCCTGCCTGTCGGAGCGGGCGCAGGGCGCGCGCCTGCGCAGCTTCGTGACGGCCGTGCGCGTGGACGGACGCGTCTTCGAGGGCTGCGGGCGCAGCAAGAAGCTGGCCAAGACGCAGGCGGCCCAGTGCGCCCTGCAGGCCCTCTTCAACGTCAGGACGGCGCCCGAGGGGAGCGCCGGCCTCAGAGCCAGCAGGAAGAGCTGCCCTCATTTACCCCAGGTGAGAAACCAAAAAAAAAAAACGCATCGCCCGTCTTCCGCTAAGCGCTTTCGGCAGCCGCTCCGCTTCCTACAGGGGACCGTAATGACCAAAACAGCAGGCGAGCGGCAAAAATCCACACACACCGTCCGAGACGTAATTAACTCATTGACTGCCAGCCATTTTAAGAACAGAGAGTCCCATACTGCCAGAGTTTTTTTTAGCATTTTGACTGATTTTTCAAGAGCCACAGAATACTTTGTTCTATGACTATGTAAACACCGGACACACCAAAAGAAAGAGTAGACTCTCTTCTTTCATCAGGAAAAATAATTTGTTTCTACCTTATTCCGTTCTTTAGTAATCAGCAGTAGAATATAGGTTGGTTTCAACAAAAACACCAGTTTTTGACCAATAAATTGAGAAAACAAGCTTTTTGTGAAAAGATACAGTTCAAGCAGAGAAGTGTCTTTGATGATATTTTTTGGCTTTAGTGACACCTCAAACATCTTAAAAGTTGTATCCTTCTATAAAAAAAGGCAAAAACAACATCTCGCTAATTCGCTAAATTCATCTGACCCGGAACTATCTGTGGAGTTGAGCTGTGGAGAAACACGCCGTGAGCTAGGCCTACTCTCTCCGCTTGGCCCGGGTTGATATCCTTCATTCCCCACGATCGGGACACCAACCAAACTACTGCGACACAAACTCTGTTTGGGTGTGAACTGCCTTAACTTCCTCGACTTGCGTCTCACCGGCGACATGTTCTCTCATATCGAACCGTTACGTGTTTTTTATTTGCCTACAGTCTATGCTCATCTCCCATCAAAAGTGGCACTGCCACCTAGAGGATCAATTTGTTAGTACATACTCTGTCTAGAAGCCTGATATTTATGGACAAGCTTTAGCAGATCGTCCCCCAGCCACTCTCGTTGAAAAACATAATTGACGTCTATAGACGTCTTTGGCAGCCAATGAGTTAAGGTTGATAGGAGATGGGACCCAGAGATTGGAGGATGGCGGCAACGATAAGGGAAAATGCAGATCCCAGATTTGTGTGACAGTCTAACACAGGTGGACGGTGTTGGGTACAAACCCACGATCCTGAGTCTGCGTGTTTAAATAGAAAAGCGTGTAATTGAAGCTCATTATTGTCCTGGTGGCCATGACACGTTAAAAAATCTCCATCACAACTCAAATGAGTTTTTTTTTTCTCCCCTCTCCCTCCACAGTCTTATGTGTTTGCAGAGCTGTAATTGGGAAGGTTTTGTAATTTTGCAAAATCTCCTGTTTCCTCATGTGTGGCATCACAGTGTCTACAAACATTAATTCAATCTGTTGCCCAAAGGAAATCGAAAAACAAACCACTGAGACCAATCCCATGCTCATTTACCCAAATATTTAAATAGCAATCAGAGCGAGGAAACTGGTTTTTCGAAACTTTGGGAAATTGGAGAGCCTGAAAACACGCCGGCTGGATTGACTTGCAATTGTTTGACATCCAGCTTCATTGCGGCCCACATTTTAAGTGGATCTGCCCTGCGTAGATAGTCACACCGATTTGAGTTATTTACCTTTGTCTGCATCGATTGGAACTTTAAATCCAATCTGACCAGGTTGCAGACATGTTGACAGCCAAAAGTGAGACCAAGCCATCCCTCAACCACCCTCCAATCGCACAGAAGAATGTGTAGAACACCACCCTCTTGAGGTCTCGAATTGAAAAATTAAGCTATCCACATCCAAAGCTCCCTCCCCCCCTAAAATCTCCCCTTGAAGCCTTTAGTTTACAGACTGTGTGCCCTGTATGTTGTGTTAACTTTTTTTATTATTATTGAGCCTTGAAGAAATAAACTGGCAAGAGTGTCCTTCCCCAGAGCACAACATCAACCCAGCAAAACCTGCACATGTCTGCCTGAGAGAAACTTTTTCTTTTCCCCCCTTACTGCCACGGTGTCTAAAAGGATTTTAAGAGGATTTGCTGCACCCGTTTAGTTCCAGAAAACACTCGCTTGTGGAATTTCTTGAAAGTCAGCCGTGCCGTCTGCCAGCCTCAACATTTTCATCGGGTAAAGGACAAATATAATTCATGATATTCATGCGTGTGCGGATGAACGTGCGGCTTCACGCGCCTTTATGGCGTTTTTTTGCGCGTTTCGGTTCCGTCCAGCTCCTACGTGCGGTCGGTTGCTAACGTTTGAGCCAGTCCTCGTGCCAGGCGTTGATTGCACGGGTAGTGGTCGACTACCCTGCAGATGTGGTGTGTAATGCGGGGGTCGGTTGCCAGCTGTGGCCCGGGGATAGATCCGTCGTCGTGGTGGTGTGCCAACTTTCGCGCGCCAGCCCAGACTGTTGTGTTACCTTACGTGTCCCTCTAGCAACCTGTTGTCAGATGAAGATTTGTTGCTCAGACGACCCTCGGCCATCTTCCCCGTAATTGCGGCCTCTTCCTAAATTCAGAAATGGACCAGAAGGCCTTTTTTTAAAACACAGTTGCAGTCACTTCTCTGTGACATGCTATAATACTGCTGGGATCTTTACAAATAGCTCGCTTTAACATTACCTTTCATTGTGCCTGCTCAGCATTTTTAAAACAGTTTGTCTCAAGTAAGTCGTGATCCTGTCAATAGTATATAGTAACCATGCATATGTATATATGTATATATGGTATATGGTAACCAAATGATAAAGCATCATTTGAAAGCCAAATCTACTAACAAGTACTGAAAAAAAAATAAGTACCCAACCTTCTAACCGCCTTGCATTCCTTGTCGCTTCTTGATTTGCCAATATTTAAATTTTGGTGCCCGTAATGTCAACACCCGGTAGGTAATATTCAAAATAAAAGGTGCCTTTGTGCGCCTCCAGTGGTTTGGACAAAAGTAGTCAAATATTTATATCATGGGATGAAAACTGGATGGCAAGTGTAAAACAAAACTTGGCTTATATTCTTGATTTTCGTCAAACTGTTTGTTTCCTTCTATGTCTGCCTTCACACACTGATAACAAGATTGGAAAACCTCAAAATCCACCACATAGAGCACAGACATCAGTTGCATCCCAAAAGAAACTCTGTAAACCGACGTAAAAAATCGTTACTGTGCGTGATTCAGTTGCAGAAAAATCAATTAAATGTTTGACGCCATAGACTCCAAAGGGCCAGCAAGGTTGAAAGTCAATATTCGACATGGGCGTCTTTATTCTTCCGCGTGACCTGAAGCCTCTCATACAAGATTTCTTGTAATGCCCGAGTAGTTTTAACGGGCTAGGTGTCCAGGCTTCTTTAAGGACATTCCCCTGGGCTCTGGGGAGGATTCGTCCCTCCTTAAGACCAGTTCCCATGTCATTTAGTACGCCTCAGACTGTTTTCCTTACCTTAGAATGTCTTCTTTATAACAAGGGAGACCATTTCTGAGCCTTCAGTTAACAGCTGGATCAATCAAATGGTCAGATGCAGTCCTTCACTCTTGTGTTTGGTCTTTGTTGAGCTTTATTTGAAAGAACACAGGCATTAACGCACCCCTCTGAATTTTAAGCTGATAACTTATGGAAAGGCCTTATTGGTTAAAAAAACAACATCTATTTTAAAGCTGGCAGATTTGATTTTGTACTGAAGCTACAGGATAACAATATGACAAGCAGCACATGATAAAGTGTTAAAATGATAACGTAAATGTTGACTTAAATGTTGTTAATGTGTATGTTATGTGGAGACAGAGTGGTTCATAAGGATGGATATAGGCGTGAAGGCATTCATCCCTTGGGCAATGTGATAGATAGATAGATATATAGATAGATAGATCCTGACCCTAATTGAAAAGTAAAGAAAACCTCTAAATTGTCCTCATAAAAAGTTTCTAAGTCCTAAAAATTGAAAAGCTACGGCTTTAGACATTTTTTTTAAACACACACATATTAAAGGCTGGTTACTCTGAAGCAAAATTTAAACGGATTGGTTGAAGACACTTTTAAAAATATAATTTTTACTCAAGAGAAGGGATGAAGATGAGAGGGAGAGAGATTTTCTACTTGTGCTAAAATTATAGACCTGGAAGTATGGGAACCTGAGAATCCATCCCAGCGATGAAATATTTAAACTCAGCACAGCTACGTTGTGCTGTATTCTTCTCAGGGCCTCTTGGCTTCACCTACATACCAAAAAGAGAAACAAGGTGATCGACAAGACGAGCATACAGGTGTACGCGGGCAATAACCAGTAGCTTTTCCCTTCTGTCTCCGGGAACTGGCTTTCACGTACGCAGCAGAAGTCGAGCATCGGCCCTCTGTTTGCATGGCATTAATGAGCTACTGGTCTCACAGCGAGGCCTTTCATTTTCTTTTCCTTCATTTAACCTTTTTTCGTTTGTCCGGGGAAATCAAACCAGGATGGGTTCTGCGGAGACATATTGCCTTGCGTTCAATTGGCTTTTTCCTTGTATTAATAGAGAGTTGACTGCATGTTTGGACTAAAGTTTTCACATCCTAACTGGGTAGATTATTCCCAGAATTCACAGTACTAGTTTTAGACTAGGACACAGTCCCACTTTCAGTCGTTTCCTACTATTTTCATCAAACAAGGCATTTTACAATTCCTCCACCTCGAGGCTACGTCTACATCTACCTCCCTACGTGTTTGCCTTTATTATTAATCAGTCACTTGGAGGCAGTCCTTCACTCCTATCCACAGCTCTCCAGTCGCCAGAGAATACCTTTGCCTTATTAAAGCCTGCACAATGAAGTGAGAAAGCTCTGGAATAATCCTCACACCCACTTTACCAGGTGGAATGATTACCCCTCTGTTCAGGCCTTGATTGGCCACTTAATCTCCACTCACCGCCACAACGTTTCTGTGGTGTTGCCAAGTCAACGGAGCGGTAGGCGTCCGTGGGGCCGGGAAGAGGCAGAGAGTCACCGGGTGAGGCAACGGAGACAGTCCTGGTCAGAATGCAGCACCTTGCAACCCCAGATTAAGGTTAATACGAATAGGGAAATGGGCCTGCTGGATTGATATTAGGGTTAATGGACATTAAAGGAGACATATTATACCCTATTTCAACAAGTTAAACTAGTTCCCTGGTGTCCTAATGTAATGTCTATGACAA